GCGTTCGTTCCCCACCATAGACACCTGCGGTCCAGAGTTTTGCAAATATCTCAGCAACGTTGTGGTTGTATTTCGCTTAGTAACCTGCCGCGAAATTATAGTAGGCAGAAAATAGAAAGGTATAACAGAGTATAGATTCTTTGAGCTGTTGTGTTATTCTCGAATCGCTACATACTTCTGTACCTCGAGGTTGTGGCTGCGGTAAATTCCTACCGAATCATCCGTAAGTTTGCATTATTTCTCAAAGTTCTAACTGTTTACAGAAGCACTGCGAATTATTAATGAACTATTGAAAGGAAATGCAGCAAAAGTGTAGGAAACTCACCCGATCGACCTTTGTAATGAAATCGTTGTGAAATGAGATCATAACTTTTACGCTAGAGAACAATCCGGGAGGGTTTATCTATAAGATTCCAAAATCATCTGATCCAACCGCTTATGGTTTTATAACGCATAAGAAGTATTGATTAACGCAGATGGATTGAAATCGTGGCCCAATAGTTGTCGATCACTTACAGATCTCGTTGTTATCACGCCACACTCGTTTTTGTTAATGATAATCGAAGTGGTACGTCGTCCAGTATCTCGTGAGGAACATCTTGAGTCATTCGCATGGCCAATAACGAAGATTCTTCCTAAGTGTAAAACATTGGAAAAGTTGGGAATCATTTCTGCAGCGGAAGGAAACAAAAATTGTACAAAGTGCGCTTTTTCAAAAAAAAAGGGATATAGGTTCTGAAACTCATTTAGATGAACATTTGACAAAAATTCCCAACGGTGTGTTTCTTATGGATTTATACTGACCTTTAAATGTATCTTCAGTCAAAAATACCACCTCAATTGTTGTATCTCCACATTCGACTTCTGCACTGCCTGAAATCATTCAAGGAATGCTTGCAATGCAGAACTTCATCTCCGCCTTCGATATTTCGATTTTAATTCCATTCCGCGGAGTAGTATACTTCTAATGGTTTGTCGCGTCATTGCACAGCTGAAGGATTGGGTGTAGAACTTGTGGGTACGAAACTTTGATGCACAGCTGACATTCGCCCCACCCTCCTCCCTCCCTCCCTCCCTCCCTCCCTCCCTACCTCCCTTCCAGCACCGTTACCCAAGCTGGCAAATGCCCGCCAACAGGTATACCACAGCAGAGCTCAGTTTTAGCATCTCGCAAAATAGAATTTTTCAAAGCTTTAGTTAAGGGCCATGCGATACCGAAATTGTAAGATATCTCTAATATACAGGACAGTGGTTGGCGCAAGCTATAATTAGCTGGGTTAGCTGTTTAAAAGCGCAAGAAACGTGTGTGAATCTTTAGCGCGAATTTTTATTTCGCGTTTTTATTGAGAAAAAAGCCAAATGTTTCAGCTCATCGGCCTGGAAATAAGAGTATAACACAACAAGATGAAGAGATGAGAAGAGGGTGAATTGCACGGCGCTGATATTTCCTTTCCAATGTGCCCCGTTGTTCTTGTCCGTTTTTCATGTCGCTAGTATATTAATTTGTGCCCACACCCTACTACATGATTAAGTTAACTGGTGTGCACAACCTCACATTTGGCCCTGTTATGTCCACTGGTGAGTATGACACATTTCATTATGCAGAAGTAGAAATCGTACGTAGAGATCGTATAGAAGAGTTTCTAACTCTCGAACAATATTTTCTGTTATTCAAAGAAGGAGGCTTTATGATGCATAACTTTGGTATATATCGATGACTATTCATGCTAAGCCAAGAAATAATTTGATTTTGCTCAAGGGAAAAAGAGGTATTCACGTACTTTTTCACTGTGGACATAGCAATAGAGAAGAGAGCGTAAATTCCGATTTTTGGAGAGATCAGGTTATTTTTATCTCGAAATTTAAAAACTTTCAAGGCAACGGAATCTTCATCGTTCTAACGCGTCAAATATTCAGAGCTCTTTCAAATCTTAGGATTCGCAGGCTGTAGAGGTTGCAAGGGTTGGCTTGATGGGGCCCACTCACCGAGTTGTCCATTCGGCACGGGTATGGCGTTGATCAGATGGAAAGTGTAAGCGATAAGAAGCGAGTAGATGATCATTGGTAGCGGACCGGATACGTGGCGATAACTGACCAAACAAGTGAGCTTGGCGCAAGCGGTGACTTGTCGGTCCGCCCAGCTCTGCTGCCGAAAGCCGCGATCGTACCGTCCGCGATGGCGCAAGACCGGGTTTCAACTAATATGCTATGATTGTTTTGAATGCTGCGCTAATTAAACATCCACTACAGACACTTCTTGTCTCATAATGCTGGTGTACAATTCATCACAAAAGAGTCTGTGTGACATTCGCTCCACTTTGTCTGGTACGCTTTGGTAAGAGGATTCTTTTAGAGGAAGTAGGTTGTGAAAAGGATTTGGTCTCAGTTGCATAACAAAGTTCAAGAAGAACGGACGAGCTAATGTAATAATGGGAATTTTTTATGTTTGTAATTACTTGCCATATCGTCCAACGCTCGTCTTTCGAAAAAAAAAACCGTCAGTGGAACAAGGAAAGAACTTTTTAGAAAACATTTTAAGAAATTCTTCCATCTTTGGAACGGTTTTTCCCCACATTATAATCGCAGTGAAGCTCACTGCTGTGCTGTGCTGAACAGCTTTTGCAACTCGACGTGAATGGTGCTGCAGCGTTCTGGTGGCTATAATGGTTGGTTCACCGGGTTATGATGTAAGCTGGACTGGTACTAACACCGACAGTGTAGTATTAACTTGCGCCTTGTCTTCGTTGGATTATTCACTGTTGAAAAAAGTAAATGTGTGAAACAGACAGTTTTTCAAAGTATTTTCTTTTGGGTCAGTTATGTGGTGGCAACTGGTTTTCCCTTTTAGAACATATTCAACATCAGTAAGTAGGAGATCATCAGAATGCTTTACTCAAAGTGCTCCTAAAATGCATCACCGTGTAATAGGTGTTTGACCATGGAAAATGAGCAGATTTATGGAAATTTTGTGGATAAGCCGCTATTTCGGCGTGAACCTGCTTTCAATCAGAGTGAGTTTCCTCACGAGTTCGTGCTTTTCTCCCATTGTTTTATACCTGAAAAGCAATTTAGTGAGCTGTTGAATAAATATTAGGTGATTATGGGACCAAGATAACATTACAGAGTATTGTTGTATTGGATAATGATAAATGTTAGAAATGATGCATTAGATATCTAGAGAGTCCATCCTCACATGCCGTAGCAAGACTTCTACAACTGCGTTCGCTGTCTTGCAGCCGTCACCGTATTGTATCAGCCGTATTGTATTGATTGCGGACTCCATTATGGTCAGAAGATTTGTTTTATCTCTTCATGGTTGGTCGTTGTTTTCTTGCATTAGCATAATAGTCAAGCTTGACCATCACGAGGATACACCGGCCTTCATGAGATTAGAAACAGATTTGCATCCATGTATTACTCCAGGACAGAAGCGCTTTCTGCGATTTTTCGCTTAACTGAACGAGGACGGTGTAGTAGACTAAATCCTCTGTTTTTTCTTTCAATTTTTTTTACTTTTTATTTATACGACTTGTCTTCGTATGTTACGCATAGAGCACTCCACTCAATTGGTTCGTTGTCTCTCATCCAACTTCCACTACAACCTTCATACATGCACATGCGTTCGGCTGGCTTTCATAAATGTTGTCGAATGTCAAGTTGATTCTCTAGATTCTTGGTATAGTTTTGCTATGTCGTTCCTGGATCCTCACCACGAGAGCGTTTACAAACTCGGGACTAAACGTTAATTTGCATGTTACCTCTGACCACCACACATTCATCCTTTGTATTCTAAATATTATCTAGAAATTGTAGTGAATTACATGTCGGTTCCTACCGCACGTCAGAGCAGCTAAGTGGACTCCACTAGGCCATAGTACGTTCGGGTTGTCAAATTTTACAGACGTTTTACTAAACTCCATTTTTGAAGAGGTGTTACTCACCACCGTTCTTCTCCATGAAAAGGTGAGGAAAGTGGATATCGATCTTAGCGGAACTGAACGACGCTGTATTTGTTTAACAGGAAGATTCTGAACTGTGCTATGTACTTCCCGATCACTTAATTACTCATTAGGATACTTAGATGGTCCGTCCTCATTGCTTGTGCGGGTTCCATCACAATCTCTGTTTTTTCGGAGTTTTGCTGGCTTAGACATTGCGGTTCCCTGGAGTCCCGAGGTCAGCGTGGTCAAAGTCTGCCGCAGGTCGTTCTCACCACAGGCAGTTGCCGCTCTTGCAGATCAGAGGGGGATTTGCCACCACCCGACTATTTTGATACCCGGATGGTGGTGAATCTTGGTATTGGTCTACTCTTAGCTGGACTTCTTGAAGGAAACGCCGGACTCCTTCTCAGCTTGGGAGACCTTGCCGGTGGGATGAATCATCGTGTACATCGAAGTCCGACACACAGGAACACCTCTTAGTCACGATGAGGCGGAAAACCGTTGGGAAGATCACTTAATTCGACATGCAGAGTAGTTGCATACAATCACATCCATCGATGTATGCATATACATTTTTAGATAAATGCGAAAGATGTGAGCCAGATCGGCAGATCAGAGAAGTGGTTGATCTCCTAAATTGATCTGTGTCTTAAGCCAATTACCTGTTCGTTCTCGCAGGCGTGCTATTACTTTCCTATCTTGGCTCATATTTCCGTCCAGTCATAAATTTAAGTTTCAATGAGACCTTCATCTCACAGCAATATCATTGTGCTGCACATACTTGCATTATATAACGTCCAATTGGCACTGGTTTTTTTTGTTCCGTTGACAGCAGAGGTATGGTCTGTGATCTGAATGAACCCTTACGAGTCGTCAACCATATGCGACTCTGATCGGCAGCTCTTTCTCAGAGGAAGCACGTAAAAAGCTGCTCTGAAGAAGGCAATACTGTCAGCTACTGCTGTGTTGTATGTGTGTTATTGCATGGCAATGAACGTATGCTGCTTGACAACCTCGCAATTGCTGACAAAGAAAACGACTAATTTATACTCCGATGCTCCAATTTATACTATACTCCAATGGTTAATAGAAAGTCGATCCTGTGAACCTTTATATTCCGTCCATGTGAGATCTAAATGCTGACGTTTGTATACGTCCATCAACGTCGCGGCGAATTGTTGTTTTGTCACAGATCAGTTTGTTTGTGTCATCAGCGTCCGACTCCGAATGTCTTCACTCGTCTGCTTGAGCCACTAACCCCAGACATCTTTTTTCCTGACTGCACCCTTAAAAGCGGGAACTGCATTGACGTCCAATAAGCTAGTTATCTGATGCATTTCAGACCTAAACGACTCGCAGGACTGAAGACGTTGCTGGTAATCCTGATGTTCTTCTTCTTCTATGCACCTCTCCTCACTCATTTCTGGTGCTAGTTAACATTGGATTTAGCCGAGAGGAGCTAGGCATTCAAGAGTGGTCCATTTATTGATCACGAGTGGATCATCAGGTGCATCTATTCTTGATTAACATAACATTTTCGGTAATCACTTATTGTTTGATATTTTTATGAGAGCAGTCGAAGTCATACAATGTGTTCGGTTAATCAGTGTTTGTTGTGATTATCACAGCCATTAGTAAAACAAAGGACATGGTTTTATTAGCAGTTCATTATGACTTTGATGTCTCCTGATTCAAGGTTGCACAAAGCGTTACGGTAAAGGTTTAGCGGAATGGTGTAATCTTGTCAATCGTTTGCCTTTCTCATTATTTCTGTTGTTTCTGTACAAGTATTCTAGTCCTAGAACATCTCTAAACAGTTAAGAAATTAGAGCACTGAACATTAATTGTATAGTCATTTAAGGCCATGAGAGCTCCTTTTGTCGAAAGTTAAGTCGAAAACGTCATCAGATTGCAGAGTTTTAGACGAATCAATGCATAAGGGATACTTTAAACTGCTTCGTGAAGTGGTGCAGTCGTTTCGAATCGTTTGCAAAACCCGACTTGCTGGCATTGCTGTCATTCATCGTTTCAGCACGCACTGTTCTTCTTTTCTCTATTCTTCTTATATGATGCTTTTTCTCTTGTTATTACACATTTGGGAGGGTAGCATGTGTGAATACTGGCCATTTTATAGAGTTTCGTTGATGCCGAATACTTCACATGCTTGAACCTTGCGTTCTTTCATCGGGTGAGTTGCTTTCCGCATTACGGAATGGAGATCTGTGGTGAAGTCCTGTTTTTCTTTTTTAAGACAATGGGAAGAAAAGTAGGTGAATTTAGAATTGCTTGTTCGAAAAAAATCAGGCAAAGTGAGAAATCAAAGAAACTCCTCCTACATCGGTGCATTTCTGAAGTCGACTGTGATTTTCACCTCGATTTCTTCAGCTGGTTCGGCTTGTTCAAATACCTCCAACAACTAGTCATTAGGATTTGCTGATGTTCACCGACGAACCTATCTAATATTGCACCTGATTAAGCATTTGGTCCGTAAATTCCTCCACGCGATTATACGGCACTTGGTGATCCACCTTCTATTAAAAAAAATGTGTTTTTGCTTTGAAAAACTCTATTCAGAGTTAATGAGAACGGTCAGCCGTGGCTGACGTAGTAATTCCAATTCATCTTCACTTGTGAACGTTGTCTATATTTTGTGTGGTAACCACCAACCATTCTGATATCACCAGAATGTTGTTCGTATTCGCGTCTTTTTGCTTACTATTCAGTAGATTCCAAGAAAGTCTACTGTATGGGCACAATTTGTGACGAAAGTGAAAAATGTGGTCCTAAAATCTTAGAAGATTCCTTGCTACCGTAATCTCAACAGCTAACGTATTACGATTTATACCTTTAGGTTACACAGATTAATCTCACTTTGGGTTTCATCACTGGGTTTAGAACTTCCAGCCGTATAGAAAAGTTGAATTGCTGAGAACTCCCGGTTCAATCTTATTCTGCTTATTTATACGGTAAATTCCTCCTCCCTTCGCAATCATTCCCACCAGATGCACCCTTCATGGAGATGTAGGTATCGTAATTGGTGTTGGAACAAATTCAATGATTTCTCACCTTATCAGACGTTAAGATCTTCATGATTCTTCGATGTAAATTGGTTATTAAATGAAACACACTGAGAAGCCTGGTATGACATTATCTCAAATAACTTAGCTTATCGATCAAACTGATTAGTTTTACACTTATCACCTGCTTAAATTTGTTCATAGAAAGTTGTTTGCCTTTAAAATAACATCCGATTCTTTTTATTTCAATGCATAAACTTGCGATCAAAGTAACGAGGACGGAAGAGCAGTTGTTGACGATTGGACCCCTTCATTTCTTTCTTTTCAAGAATGTTTATTTTTGAAATTTCCTCGCTATCCACGCTTTAGTCATGCGATCTTTCAATGACAATGAGTTTCTATAATCTTGGGCTTTTACCTTAGTTACGGCATAAATTTCTTCGATGGCACAGACTTTTATGACGATAAGCATGCGTGTGTGATGTGGCGACTATATCAATCAATGGACGTGAACTTATTTGTGTAGCTGGTATAAATCATGTTAAGTGAAGTAATTGTAAACAAGGTGCTATTTTTATCCGGCGACGTAGTTGTTCGTTTTTGGTTTTTTTTATTGAAATAGTCTTACATCATGCAGTGACTCCCACGACCGACTTTCTATTAACCTCGGCATTGATCAAGCAAGATGTACCAGCAAGATACTTCCGACTTGTAAAAGAAGCGCTGTCACTGAGACAAAAGATCGTCTTAGCTCGACAGTCAATACACTTTCTCCGCCGCTGTCTAAAACATCGAGTCGTTTCGAACTTCATCAAACGAAGACGACTACACGACGTATGCGGACTACCAGAGGACAGTCACCGATTATTGGACATCGAATTGCGAATACTACGCACCTGTCTACGAAGCCGACAAAACCAGATGTTCGCCGAGTGGAAGAAGTGCGAGACGAAGGAAAACTTTTGTGCTCAGTATTTGGAGGACCGCCTCTGGAGGAGAATAGTGGGCAGGCTCTGAGGAAGGCGAATTCCGCCGAAACGTCAGCTTATTCGTGAATAAAGAGTAATAACACCTCGCGTTTGCTCAACAAAAATACGAAGAATTAGTTGAGTCTTACATCATATTGGCAAAATACGTTTCCCAGCAGTTTTTATTGCAAATGATAAGGATAAGCTACCAAGTGTATGCCTGAAGTTACCTAGTAGTCCTCAATGCGGAACCAAGCACTCCTTCAATATGTCTTGTAGTCCTGCTTTCAAATGTCATCGATGGGGCAGTCGGGTTATGTGTCTGTTCTCCTACCGCTTGAGGATCTGTGCTGTTCTCTCCTCATGCTGGTCAAGCGTGATTTTGTCTAGGTTCTTCAATAGCACTTCGAAGGTGTTCTTACATCTTCACCACTGGCATTCACCACAGCCTTCCATCCTTGCGGGGTCGGGAAATTGGCTTTCTGAGCGGAAGTAGAACTGCCGTGCGACCTGGATCCTTCTAAGACCGCAGCTACATCTGTGGTAGCAGGACTCCTAGGATTAGCCGAGCGACCTGCTAAGGACGTGACGAGCCAATTTATAGGTTGAAAAGAATCTGTTAATTTTGAACGCTAGTATAACTCCTACGATTTTGTGGAATTTCTACCGTTATAAGTCAACATTTATCCATTCTTAGCAAGATTATCTCGTTGGGCACGCACTTATTATAGCATTCGATACTTATTTTCTACACACCCATATTTGAGCGTGTATATGGGTACGACTGTGTACATATGCGTGTACATATTTGTATGCGTTTAAATATATATAGTGCGCGTGTAGTGCAGTGGTTGGATGCGCCCTGCAACATACGTATAGAATCGATTTCCACGCCATGGATCACCAAGCCTTCCATCCTTGCGGGGTCGGGAAATTGGCACCAAACTTGTCTGGGAGGATAGCAGCACTGGTTCGATACAGCGGTAGGCCACCGTGAGTCAATGAAAAGGCCAGGTGTGCATTCAATCACCTCCAGACGATACTCAATGAAGTCGAATGCATGGCACATCCCGCAAGGATTGATCAAGGCCGAGAGCTTCATCCTTACATATATATATATATATATTTGTAATCTCCAATCTTGATTTACAGACATTTCTAATAGAAAAAATATCTGTAAGTTTATAGGGTTGACGCGAACTGTGCATACAATGCAATACCAGAAAAGAAGCGTATGAAACCTGTGTACAAAAGGATTTGTTATAAATTTTCATACGGTATGATCGCGTATACGATAACAACCTGGGGAACTTCTTCTTGTTATGTGGCAGTTAATTATTTGAAAGCACGATTTCGATAAGGTTAGGAACTTATTAATATAATACATATAATAGAGAGTATGATACAACAAAGTTATTGATACGAATGACGGAAAGAGGTGAATTTCAAGCGTAATGAGTGAGGTGAGATAGGACTGTGTTTTGTACCTGAATCCAAGGCGCACTGGGACTCGCGCAACGACGAGGTTTATACTTGAGCAAGAACAGATTGATCGATCAAGCTACTGCATTTTGATAAGACTGTTCCAAAATCAATTAATTATTGATCAGCTACGAGGCAACTACCCGTTGATAATGAGTATTAGAAATGCATAACAAGACTATAAACAGAAAACTAGTATGGAAATGACGCTTCTGTTCGGTTTTGCCGCCAAAGAACAGTTTTAGGAGTGTTGATACGGAATGTTCATTCGGTTCTCCATTTTTGCGTTACAGCTCTTACGAAGAGATCCAGGTAGCAGAATTTTAGCTTACTGTTTCTGCTTTAGCTGATGATGTTTAGCCAGCTGATCTGCGACATCCATCGCCGAAATACAGAACTTGCATGTATAAGCACACTGCGCTTTCATGAAAATTTTTTGTTCAGCACAAACAGCAGGATTATGCTGTAGCCAGAACGAGCATGAGTAGCGCATGTCACGACAGCTCGGATCACGGAACGTTGACGGATTAGTGTGAGTGAAAAAGACGATTTCCGGTGTTCGTCGCGATGTCGTTGCTAAGACTGTCGCCTCCGTTGCAGCCAGCGTTGTCTTCGATGTCACATCGTCTATTTCCTATGATGACATCATTCATGTGATTATGAAGAAGAGTTACGTTCAATTTTTTTTCTCTTAGAAGAAAAGTAGGCGTAGTTTGGAAACTTGTTAGCAACTGCTCACTTAATAGTGTTGTTGGCTTGCGATCTGCATTTCTTAATTACCTACTTCATTCTTATTGAGATTATCTACGATTAACACACTGAAAACACATGGATTTTGGATGACATTCAAAAGTGGCTGGTAGTTTCTCTTAATCATTGTCGTTAGCGACCGTTCCGTCTCACTCACGTTCGCTTTCACTTGAAGTAATTTCTTCATTTCAGATAAAAATGTGAGGAAACGAAACTGGTGCAGCTCACGAATACTCGACAATTACTTTGTCACGCTGTTTAGTTGATGCAGGCCTCGCGTACTTTTTCTTGAATACTGGTTAAGATTATGATTTAAACAAATGACGATAACCAAACGTAAACCTACAGTTGTCTCAGATGTCGCGTACTTATTGAAACGCAGACCTGTCCATATTCTAGACGATGGTGTTGTGCTGTTTGGTCGATAGGTTAACCACGGTCGTGCTCTTTAACGGATGCTTATAAGCCGCATATTATCACTTTTCAGTTTATTCTTCAACTTTTATTTTTCCTTTCTGATAAAAACTCAATATCTCTTTGTTAAATTGTTGCCATCACTAGTGCCTTATACTGAACAACTTATCAGTGGCGTTGTTTTACAAATGTTTGACGCTTGTTTTCTACGATTTTGTGAAGTCTGTATCTCATCTTAGGAGTTCTGGATAGAAGGAAGACATTTGACTCAAGTCATGCATGACTTTGGATAGTTAACACATTAGTTCTACTCACCTTGTGGGCACAACAATCTTCGGCAATGGTGTCGTTTTCGTCGAACGCAGCGTTCTCGTTGTCGTCGAATGCGGAGCTCTAGTTGTCATACCTAAGATTCGAAATTACTATTGTTATCTTAAGGTTAGACGAAAGGTATAAGGCTTCAGCATGTGAAATATGCACTTCAAGACTAAATCGATTTTGCAGCTATGACAATCAATACGCACGTTCCGTAGTGTTTCTAAAATTTGTAGGACGAAAATGATATTCAAGGATTTGTGCAGATTTTTTTTGTAAATTATGGCCTCGTATTTAATACCGAATTGGTTTTTATTATTTTTTGAGACTGTGACATTAAAAATAAGTGCTGAGCTAAAAGTGCTAATTTGGAAAAAACAGAGTGAAAAAGTAAGCGATACGTCGAGTGGAGATGGAGATTCTTTTGGTTGTAGGTGTTGGCGATGTACCAGTCATTGGCACTTTGCTATTAGTCACCTCCACACCGTTTATTAATCCCAACAGGTGCATTCGGTCTGCAATACGCATTTCCACACTGGTGTGTGATTTTTGAGGCGATAAACAATTCACTCACACAGCTGTTTTCTCCGCAGCGGTGGCGAGATGAGTGATAATGGATCTTTTCGAATGCCGTTATGTTCCAGCACGGCCTCTATAACTTCCTAGAAAAGGCGCTATTTCTGCCCCCCTACTGTCCTAAGTATGACACAGCTAAGGAGACAATGTGAGTGATGGAATTTTCGAGCAATATTGAGTATAGGAAAAAAAGTTTTAAAGAGAGCATCCTAATGACGTTGTAGGCTTTAGATAGAATTTCCTTGGAAATTGTTTAACTGAGACTTGCAAATGAATTGGAAACAGCTCATCGTCATAGAGCTTAGGAAACAATGGATGTAGGCTGGTGTTTGTGATACGTCTTACACAACAATTCCTACCTTAACACCTTCAAAAGTTTCAACAGCTGTCGGAATCAGCTCTTTTTTATGAAGAATGAATCCATTTGATACTGAAATTACATTAATCCATCAATAAAGTCGAATGATGGAGAATGTGGGAATTCAAGAACGGACATTCGTATTGTGGCCTCAGTTCGACCAGGTAGACATACTTGATGCCATTCGACTTTGCCCAGTCGTCAGAACCACCAGATGCGGGTGCTATGAAGTAAAAACCAGTAGAGAAGAAATGAAAAACTTGCACAGAATATAGCGAAACTTACATAAAACGTCGGCTCCAGTTCCCATGCGATATTCGGTGCCGTATTGACGATGAAGTCGGTTGATTGCGCGACGAGCGGTTCGACGCTGAATAAAAATTATGTCGCTCATTTTATAGGTTGTCTAAATGACTTTATTTTTTGAATAGAACCTCACACAGGTGATGGGGTGAAGCAAAACTAATTATTCGGCACTCTTGAATTTTTTTATACTTTAATTTTATTTCAAGACGACTTTGCATTCCCCTTCCAGCAATAATTCCCGGATAAGTATCGGTTGTTGAGTAAACACTGCTTGCAAAACTTGGTAACCAGTAAGGTATGGTAAAGTTATACATGGTGCAGTTGTTCGATGCATGTGCTGCTGCCGTACATCTGCATTACTAGACAATCGCTTGAAACGGTTGTCGACTCATCCTGCTTTTTCTTTTGTTGCTCCTCTTTCCCACCGCACTTCGGGAAACTTTCTGAAATCCTCCGAAAGGTACCAGAAAGCTCCGTTGTTTTGCAGAAAGCTTTAGCACGTTTTTCCAGGGATTGAAGAGTAACGAGAGCTCGAGTAGAGTATTCCATGAAAAAGGGAGAAAAACAAATTCTTTTTAAACCACTGGCTTAATTTCTTCCAAATTCAATTGACCTAATCTTTCATATCTCCTTTTGTTTATCACTATGATCATAACCTTTAGAGCACAACTATGTATTTCGCAATCGGCAATGCCCGAATTAACCGCAGTCGATCGTGATGATGGCTACGATTGTAAATATTAATAAAAAGATTCTTCAACAGTTAGGGCTAAAGTTCAGAAGTTAATCTAGCATACGCATTAAAAACTCGGATTGCTGCGGGTAGCCATTTTTGCGTTGTCATTTGCATCAACTCTTTTTTAAACATAAGTATTCATCACATACAAGTTCGCTAATGTCTTTGGGATAGTTTTGTTGAGCATGACTATACGGATAGATCCATAGCTGTGCGTACGAGTGGAGTGTGATGAATCCATCGACCTTTCCACGTAGTTCGTCCGTGTTCAAAAAGTCACGCACTGCGCTGAAACTCGTCGGACATGAGTCTTTCGGTTGACAGTGTGCAAAGTGTGTGATACTTACCGTGATTCTGGTTCACTGAACACATGGTCACCATGATAGATATTTGAACACGGTTCGAACGATGAGCCAGATTCTATAGAAATAGGATTTTCTTAATATAGCCAGAAACTTTTTGTAAACAACCAATAGTAAATAAACAGGAGCATTGAAAAGAACGGACCAGCCCAATGGAACTTAAAGTTGCGGTTTAAATCAACACCTTTACAGCACTTTTCACCACCCCATAGCGAGCGGTGGCACTTTTCCGGTGAACGATTTTTACGCCATAGACGTACCTAAATTCTGTAATTTTTTAGAAAGAACCACATTTCAGATGGAATCATTCTTGGCTCGAAAGATTATAAGCTAAGAAAAGTAAAAACAAACACTAGGATTCGGTGACGAACGTGTAAACTCGTATCCATCTGGATTCAAGCATGGCATGACATAGAAGTTCAGGCTGTTCACATAATGAGTGATCGTATCGTCTTTACCGTAACCGGAAACGAGCTAAATGACATCTTTTTTAAAGACGAATGTGGAAACATTAAGAAAGCGGAGTGAAGTGAGATAGGAAACGTTAAGAAACTAGGATAAAGAGTAAGTGACAAGGCTTTTCAGAAAAAAATTAGAAAAGAAAACGTAGGAGGGACGTCGTTCTGAAGTTATAACGAATCGTACAGCGTCATTTGACAGCAGACCTGATTGATAAAATAGAGTGCGGTATGACTGCTCGCCCATTCTCTAGCATGAATATTGCCATCTACCCAAATTGCTCGTTTATTTGTCGATGAGATCGGATAGCCAATCTGTAATACCGTCAATGAATTCGTCAAGATTTCAAATATTCAAAATCACACCCACCTTCATACCTTCGATAGGTTTCCCTTCATGTGTTGTACCAAGACGAACTATTTTCGTAATGTTAGGGTAGTAGAATTCGATGGTACGCATGAATTTTATCATATCGGCGTACGATGCATAGTCCCCGAACGAGTACTTGGCTTTCTTCAGCTTTCCCACTCGTGAGAGATCGTCGTCAGCTGAAGCGTAATATTGACCATAGTGAGGTGCTGTTTCTCATATATTTCCCTCATTTCAAATCAAACATTAAAATGATCGCTAACTAAAAGAGCCGGTTGAATTTAATCAACGTTCCTTATCTGAGGGGTGGAACCAGTGTGAAAAATAATGTATTCGGTGCATCAGTTACTACAGAAATGGTTTAAAAACCCTGTATAGTATTTATTTACCTATTTTTTAAAAAATATCTAACTGCTCTAGTAGATTATATCCTACTTTAGGTGCATATCCTTTATCTAAGGCATTTTATTATCCCATCGCCGCAATTGTTCTTAGGAAGACGCACTATGGCATTTAGGATAACGCAAAGCATTACTAACTTAAATGTCATCTTGGCTAAATGGAGCACTCCTGCGCCAATATAACCCTGTCTTTCTATTTTATTATTGTAAATGTTCTAAAACTAGCTTAAACCAACGTTCACTGTCTAATATCGGGTCGTCTTGAAGACGTCGACCGTAGCCTCTTCGTGAAGGTCGGGTCATTCGTTCATTTCTGATGATCAACCTTAAACATTTTCTTTAAGATACACGGCAATCCAGCCATCCAACTACTTTTCATCCTGTGATTTAACTGTAAAACTAATTTTTATGAATTTTTGTCAGGAGAAACTGAATCTTATCACTTAGTTGATTCTCAAAGTGATAATCTTGGAGTAGCGCTATTTTCAGTAGAGCTGCTATCCGGAATCCTCCCTGTATTTATTCCCTATTTTAGAAATACGAGTTTGAATTTATTACCACAACGACAAGGCACTTTCTGAAGAAATTTAAATCTTTGTAAGATTTAATTACTGTCAAGGATTTAGGCTAAATTGTAATGGACTTTAAGCTAGTATTTTGTTCACTAGTAAAATTTAGAATAGTGTAGCTATTCACTTTTCGACATCCGGCACACGAATCTCATAGGAAATGTTAGCTCTTCGAAATCGTTGTTCCATGGCGAATGCATCCTTCGAAGAAATCATAATGTCTGCAGAATCACCGAAGTGATTCGGCTCTTTCCAGAAATCAACCTGCAATTGAAAAAACATTTAGAGACTCGTCTATGCAGACGTTGAGAACGCCGATAATTCGGCTCGTTGTTATCGTAACGTCCTCATTGGTGGAACACTCTGGGCTACTAAGCGTTTCATGTTCGGAATTTTCCGGAACACTAGAGGTCAGGTTCATGATTTGTTATTAAACCTGGATAGAAACGGTAGCCACATTTGTGTCATACTTGTAAAGTCGCTTATTTAGTGCACGAATCCAGATTTTACTGTAACAAGCACTTATGACAGTCAAGCAGCAAACGAGTTTGTCGCGTACCGTTCATGGGCTGGTCGGACTGGAAAGTGAAGACACCATTACATTGCGCTACACTTCCTAATAGTGTGGAATGCAAAATGAAAAGTTTTCCACAAAGAATGATTGGTTTTGAGAAATAATTGACCAAAGTCTAAGCCTGGGAATTCCTTACTAAAACTTTGAACAGATTTGTATGCGTAACGCAGTTCTCCTAGCCCCAAACGTTGTTTGCGGCAAACGATTCCTATTCTTAACAGAACCACCGTAACTGGGGAAGCACTTAGACATTTACATCCGGAGGCAGGTAATTGGTTTAAGACACAGATCAATTTAGGAGATCAACCACTTCTCTAATCTACCGATCTGGCTCACATCTTTCGCATTTATCTAAAAATGTTTATGCATACATCGACGGATGTGATTGTATGCAACTACTCTGCATGTCTAATTAAGTGATCCTCCCAACGGTTTACCGCCTCATCGTGGCTGAGAGGTGTTCCTGGGTGTCGGATTGCGATGTACAGCAGGGATTCATTCTCTGGCAGGATCTCCCAAGCCAAGAAGGAGTCCGGCGTTTTTATCAGGAAGCCTAGCTGAGAGTAAGCCAATGCCAGGATCCACACCGTCTTGGTATCAAAGTCGCATGGTGGTAAATCTCTCTCTGATCCACAAGGGCTGCGACTACCCGTGGTGGTGAAGTGGTGAAGACCTGGTGCGGACTTTGGCCAGGCTGACCTCGGGGCTCCGGGGAACCATAATGGCTTAGCCACCAAATCTCTGAAAAATAGTGATTAGGTTGGGGCCCGCACAACCAGTGAGGACGGGCCATTCAAGTATCAGGTAAGTAAAGTTCACAATTGACTGATGTGTTGATTTGAAAGAAGCCACTATTTTTGAATCGTATGACTTCTATTAAAAGGTTTAAGAAAGGTTAAGTTGACAGCAATCTACTCGGCCAGACGCCTCCATAACCAAACAAAGAAACTCCAAACCAAGATTTCAATCACTTTGAA